GGGTGCCGGGGGGGGGGGGGGGGGGGGGGGGAGTGGGGGGGACAGGACAGAACACGACCCCCCCCCATCTGAGGGTTGTCCCCCCTAAAAATATGATTAAAAGCCACGCTGTGTATTGTAAATAACAATGTTTTATACTTTAAATAACTTTGTAAGTAGTAAAACAACACAAATGGGGCAAAAATGCATTTTAAGTTTAGAAACATTTTGAGTCTCCCCCTCCCTTGCCTCACAGTGCTTTGGTCCAAATGCCTGCTTTTCTCTTTTACATCACCTCAGTGTTGCCAAGTCCGCGGTTTTCACGTGGAATTGGGCTGCTTTAACACTGTTGCCGCGGGTTGTTTTTCATGTCTGTGTGTTGAAGCGCCCCCAATAACATGATATTTAGCCCCTGGAATGTGAATTTTACCAGAGGAACCCTGCCGAAAACATGTATTTTATACCCCCCGGAACGCAGTTTTTATCGGGGAACCCCCCTCGAAATGCGATTGGATTAGTATTGAGTAGCAATTGGGCGTTTCTTTTTTTTTCCGAAAACCTGGCAACCCTGCGTTACCTACACACACAAGTCCGGTGAGGTGGAACTCGACTGTCAAGGCTATTTTATTCACTTAAACATCGGATGAAGTGATTCATTTCTCTTTAATACAGATGATGCCAATGTATTTTTCGATGAGTCCACTATGTTAGCAATTATAACGTTACCTTCTTGACTGATAGTAATGTCTAAAACGGACACTAGTGCTGTCATGGCGCAAGCACAACAGCTTTAAGTTGTCTAATTTGGCACGGCCTCCCTGCTACACTAATAGTAGTAAGGCTTTCCTCTGTGTTATTGTTTAAAAAATATGCTTGTGGACTGAAATAAAATAATGCAAAGCAAGTGGTGTAAAAACTAACTAACTAAAAAAAATAAAATAAAAAAAAGTGCTTAATAATAAATAAGAATACCTTTATTTTATATTTAAAAAAACTATATATATATGCTGTCTAATCAGCATCTTGATATGCCACACCTGTGAGGTGGATGGATTATCTTGGCAAAGGAGAAGTGCTCACTAACACAGATTTAGACCGATTTGTGAAGAATATTTGAGAGAAATAGGCCTTTTGTGTACATAGAAAAAGTCTTAGATCTTTGAGTTCAGCTCATGAAAAATGGGGGCAAAAACAAAAGTGTTGCTTTTATAATTTTGTTCAGTGTGTATATATATATATATATGTATATGTTGTTTTTTGTATTATATTGTATATATTTTGTATATGTATATATAATTTAATACATATTAAAATATATATTAAAGACTTTAAATACATTTAACAACAATGTAAATTATATTTGAAATTAATAATATTTAAATAAAGGAAAATATGTAAATCCAAATGGTGATGGAGAGTAACCAATCCAAAACAATATTAATGCTGATGGAGAGTAACCTGTTCATGCAAACACAGACATTTTGTAACACAGAAAATGATACCATACGATACATGAAATAGCCAAGAGAGTCAGAGAAGTGGGTTAAAGGTTTATGGGTATTTGTTGAGAAAGCTCAATCCTAATCTTTAGACAACATTGTCAAGGACCATCTGATGCATGTTGCTGACAAAAATGGCAAGAGTTTGCCAACATGGCAAGCTAGAATCTTAATGGATGGGCTTATGCTATTTTTTTAGCCCGGTATTTAAATCATAAAGTTGCAATGGGGGCCAGACTTTGTGCCAATCATCAAGAGCTTGGGAGGACATGGCAGGATAAGAAAGTATTAATCCTTCTCACTGTCTTTAAGGAGTGTTATGGGATGTTAGATAGTAGAGTATTTGTGTCGTAATACATGGCTCAAATGTTGAAGGATATTGGAACAAGACCACCAGAGAAGATTCTGATGATTCAGATACTTGCCGATCCTCTCTAACCTAATTCCCTCTGACTCTTTCAGGGCCAGATATTCTGCAACTAAACCCGAAAGCCTGCGTCTTTTGTTTATCTCTGTTCTGAGGGGGAGGCTTAGCTTTGAGTATTAATGAAATTGCCTGCAGTTTCCAATTTGTAATTCTTTGTTTAATCAGTCAGCTCAAGTTTTCAAAGTTTCCATTGTCTGTTTGCGGGAGTAATGGCAGATGAAAAAGTCTACTTCATTCTCCTCAAAAACTTGGCTTTGAAGCTCAGAGGAAAGCTTTTTCTTGTTCTCTCCCTCATGTTGTTGAATGGAAGTGTTTGCAGTTGCATTACTTTGAGGAAGTTTTCAAAGTCATTTAGAAATTTTGGACTAACATTGGACAAAATGGTGCTTTCAAAAGCGTTTCTGACACAAAGCTCTTTAGGAAACCATATTCTCGCTCAGTCCTTAAGAAATTATGAAACTCAACAAATGACTTTAGATTGTATTTGTCTAAAACCATTCAAACTTCAGTTGCCACTCTAATCAAGACAGCTAAACAATGCACATATCTTACTGTAATTGCGCTAAATTAACTGTGTAAATTTTCAACACGGTACCTTGCAGTACCCTTACTATTGCTTTTTTGATCATATACATATATAATGTCAAACTTAACATTGGTTTTCACTTATGCAACATTTATTTAGCCTACTGAGAGCGATGAGGTAATGTTTTGCACCATATGCTGTTGTTTTCCATTAAAGTGTGTAATGGAGTTACATTATATAACTGCAAAATTGTATATTTATTTTTTTATTTTTTTATTTATTATTCGGACCAGTAAAAATGATGGCTGTGCATCATTTTTTTTAATGATTTAAATATTATTTTTATTTAAATTTTTTTATTGATTTTTGTTTTTGAAGGGCTAACATTAAATGGAAAAATAAATGTTTATTCCTGGCAACATTTTACATGAGTCCCTTTTTATTTTATTTTAAAATTCTATTCTATTCTATTCTATTCTATTCTATTCTTTAATTGGGACCAGTAAAAATGTTGGCAGGGCAACCCGTTTGACACAACTTGAACCACAGGTTTTATTCATCTGGCTATTATAATGTTGATACATTGATTTCCTGTTCCTGTTTTGCTCTCAGTGTTGGAACCAATCGGGGTTTTCAAGAGAATCACACCTTCAGTTTCTCTGCCCACT